GAGATGGGGTTTCACCATGTTGACCAGGATGGTCTCGATCTGTTGACCTCGTGATCCACCCGCCTCGGCCTCCCAAAGTGCTGGGATTACAGGCTTGAGCCACCGCGCCCGGCAGTTTTTCCTTTTATCATTGGCAATTTGGAGCTCTTGTTAAAGAAATCCTTCCCCACTGATAAAGTTACAAAGTTGCGTGTTTAATTCATATATTTTATTGTTTCTTTATCACTAACATAAGTACTTAAGATCACAGATTTAAGATTACAATCCTAAATCTTAAATTTGCAATCCTAGGGTGGTAGTTTTTTGAAATTACTAAGATTCAATAATTACTTTCAAGAATTGAGGTGAAATTTATATCACAAAATTAACCATTTTAAAAGGTACATTTCAGTGGCGTTCAGTACATTCACAGTATTGTATGACTGCCACCTCTGTTAAGTTCCAAAACATTTTCACCACCCCAGAAGAAAACCCTGTGCCCATTTCGTAGTTACATCCCATTTTCCCCTCTGCTCAAACCATACTGTCATCAATCTGCCTCTGTGGATTTAAGTATTCTGGATATTTCATATAAATGTAATCACACATAGCCTTTTAGGTCTGTCTGCTTTCACTTAGCATATTTTCAGTGTTCGTCTGTGTTTTAACATATGTAAGTACATGCTAAAACATTTAATTTTAAAAATATATAGGTACATATAGTCCTTATAGCTGAATGATATTCTATTGTGTGTGTGTGTATATATATAAATATATGTATCATATTTTGTTTATTCATTTTTCCATTGGTGGATATTTAGGTTGTTTCTACCTTTTGGCTATTGTGAATAGTGCTGTTTTGAACAATTGTGTACAAGTATTTGTTTATATACATCATTTTAATTCTTTTTGATATATACCTAGGAGTGGAATTCCTCTGTCATTTAGTTAATTCAATTTTAGCTTTTTAAGAAACCACCAAACTTTTTTTTCTAGTACCCACAACCCCTTATTGTACATTTCTAGTTTGATTTCATAGTCATCAAAGAAGATACCTTCTGTGATTTTAGTCTTTTAAGACTTACTAAAACTGTTTTATGGCCTATACTATATGGTCTACTCTGGAGAGTGATCCATGTGCGCTTGAATAAACATATATTCTGTTGCTGTTGCATGGAGTCTACCATTTTAAATTTGCCTTTTTCTTGATTCAGCGTTTGTTTGATTGCTATAAAACTTGCTTGATTGCTATAAACTTTTAACTCTCTTCCAGAGTTCCCACAGTTGATTCTGACAGTTTTGCTCATTTTTTCTTTTATTTTTCTGTGGTGGGACAGTCTTTTGGAGCTACCTACCCTGCCATTTTTGTTTACCACTTTTCATAATTACTTTTTACAAAGAATGTTTTATATACCCTCTTTAATATTCTGAAATATATAAATAATACACAGAGAAGTTTAAAAAATCAGTATAATGCTTTAATTGTAATATAAAAGAAATTTATAGTAAAGTAGTATGAATTATAGTTATGTAAATGCTAACATGACATTGGGAAGCATAATGAACTAGTAGTATGTTTTAAATAAGTTGGATTAAAGAAATGTAAGAAAAATCAGAATCCATTCTGTACAAGTGCTGGTAAATGAAAGTCTAAAATCTAGTCATAGGCCGGACCTAGTGGCTCATGCTTGTAATCCAAGCACTTTGGGAGGCCAAGGCTGGCAGATCACTTGAGATCAGGAGACCAGCCTGGCCAGCATGGTGAAACCCCATCTCTACTAAAAATGCAAATATTTGCTGAGCATGTTGGTGGGTGCCTGTAATCCCAGCTACTGGGGAGGCTGAGGCAGGTGAATTGCTTAAACCCAGGAGGTGGAGGTTGTAGTGAGTCAAGATTACGTCACTGCACTCCAGACTGGGCAACAGTGTGAGACTCTGACATACATACATACATACTTGTCATAAGGACCATTTTTTTTTTTTTATATATAACTACTAGGAATGAGAGAAACAATTTGAAATAAATTAATACAAATTATGGACTAAAGTGGTGAAGGAAAGGAGAAAGTATGGTAGTCTTATAAATTTGTTGGACCTTATTTGAGAAAGCAATTTTTCAGTAAATAATGAAGTATCAGAGAACAGATCTTTTGTTTTAAAATCCTAACATATATCAGGTCTATTATTTAGTCTTGAGTAGTAAATATCTTGCAAACAATACCCTTTCATTGATTATGAGATTTGAAGATGGACTTTTTAATTAAAAAATTAATTTATCTCTGACTAGTATCAAAGTAAGTTTGAAAAAAAAGGCAGTTACTAGAAAAATAAATGAAAGATTCAACTGATAATTTTTACAATACATTTTATATATATGCACAGACACCTATATATGATATGCAATATTTTTAGAACAACCAATGAAATTAAATAAGATAACTTTATTTCATGTATTACCATAATTTAATATTTGGTACTAAGTCCGTTAAGAGAGTCTTACATTCTCCATTACGTAAGTTGGCCTTATTGCTTTTACAGTGACTACATACACCCTTATACTAAAATATTTTCAAATAAATGCATAGTTTAAAATGCAAGAAGCTGGACTCAGGGACTCATGCCTATAATCCCAGTACTTTGGGAGGCTGTAGTGGGAGGATTGCCTGATCCCAGGAGATTGAGACCAGCCTGGGCAATGTAGTGAGACCCTATGTTTAAAACAACAAAAACAAGAGTAACTTTCTTTCCCAGAAGAGGATATGATACTCATAACCTGATTTAGAAGCTTTCTTTATTACACTGTTTAAATTGTGTTTGGCCTCCAGGTAGTTTTTTTAGCTTAGCTCTTAACAAATGTTGATTGGCCTATTTCCTACACATTTCAAATGGAATAATCACCCTTTCTGTATTGTAAGTTCATAAAAGTCTCGTTACTCAGTGTATCTGTTAGAGTCATGCTTTTCCTGCCACTGAGTTACGGTGACAATTAAATAGTATTTTTGAAAGTGTATGTGTTTATGAAAAATCTGTGTTAAAAGCATTACTGTTAATATTTTAATAATAAATGTGACATCACATGTTCCAGAGACAATTCCCTTGAGGTAAGTAAGTCTCAATCATAAGTCAACATTTTGAGATTATGTAATTCTTCACATTAAAAATTAATTCAGGCCGGGCGCGGTGGCTCACGCCTGTAATCCTAGCACTTTGGGAGGCTGTGGTGGATGGATCACCTGAGGTCAGGAGTACAAGACCAGTCTGGCCATCATGGTGAAACCCCATCTTTAAAATAAAAAAAATTAATTCATAATCTCTCTCCCCCCCTTTTTAAAAAAAATTTTCTGTTTTTTTGTTTTGTTAATTCATAATCTCTTGCCTTAGCTTGCCCCTTAATCAAAGTCGCTTTTTAGGGGGAAGTGTATTTTGCAACAAAGGTACTTCATCCTTTGGATATTGTATGTTTTGCAAATATGGAGCAAACTTCCTTGCCTTTATTAGCACTTTCCACGCTGGTATTTTCTCTTAGGTGTGTAACTACCTTTATTTTCATGAGAACAACCTGTCTTCACATAGATTTAATTGCGTTAAGTTTTTTAGTTGGGGCATGTATAGGAATGTGAAAAGCAAAAAAAAAAAAACCATGTAATAGTTTTTTTTTTTTTTTGTCGTTTGTGTTTTTGATTTGCAGGCTGCAGGCAAAATAAAAGTACCTGAGGAGAATTTCTTCAATGTTCCTGCTTTCTTAACTGTCTCAGGACAGCTTCATCTAGAAGTGATGTCAGGGTATGAAATATTCCTTTCTCTTTTGCTTTAATATATTATGGTTTGGATGAGAGTGAAATAGTGCTTTCCTTCCCATGCCCAAATCTAAAAGTTGAAAATAGTTTTTATCATTAGTTCTCTTGAATTTTCCAAAATATTCAAGTTTCTTATAATACAGACTTGCTTTTAGTGAAAAATGTAACACTGAAAATACAGAGTTGTGATTTTTTTTCTTTTTACTAATCTTTCTTGGTTGAATATCAAACATGTAATCGCAATTTACTTGTAATTAATCATATTTATGGAAGTAAAGGCAATTTATAGTTTTTACCTGAACCAGTTATTATTCCATATCATTTTACAAATAGTAGTATTTGAAACAGATGGAAGGAAAATTTTTTCCAATAATTGGTTTAAATAAAATTAACTCATGTCTACATTTTGAGAGGTGTACAACAAATTACATCTTTTAAGTCAGATCAAATGAGTTTTAGCAACTGTCAGACCTCTGAAAAGTCACTGTATTCCTTGGAGCCTAACCTTTCTTTAAAACAGGGGATTGAACAAGAAGATCTTTAAAGTCCTGTCTAAATCCTGTTCCATAATTCTGTAGGTAATTCCTTTTTTTTCCCATGTATTTTTATTTTTTTAGAGGTGGAATCTTTCTTTATTGCCAAGGCTAGAGTATACAGTTGCACAGTCATAGCTCACTGTAGCCTAAAATGCCTGAACTCAAATGATTCTCCTGCCTCAGCCTCCTCAGTAGCTGGGACTACAGGTTTGTACCACCAAACCTGGCTCTTTTTTTACTTTTTTTGTAGAGATGGGGTCTTGCTGTGTACCAAGGCTGGTCTCAAATGCCTAGGCTCAAGTGATCGTCCTGCCTTAGGCCTCCCAAGTAACTGGGACTCCAGCAACATGCCAGCACACCTGGCTAATTTTTTAAATTTTTTGTAGAGATGGGGTCTCACCACGTGTCCTAGGCTGTTCTCTAACTGCTGAATCAAGTGATTCTCCTGCCTCAGCCTCCCCAAATCACTGGGATTACAGGCATGAGCCACTGAGCCTGGCCTCTGTGGATAATTTGTTAATGCAGACTCAACAAGTACAGAGTTTTGTTTATGCATTTTTTTCTTTAAACATTTTCTCATTATAGGGATTAGGACTTAAAAAAATCTTTTCTGGAAATCGCTCTCTTGAAATGAGGGGAATCTTTTTGTGTTTTTTATTGCTTTAAAAATGCGCAGATGAGAAAACTCAAGGAAAATGTCATAGAATAGTTTGCATGTTTACTTTTGTGCTTTGCTACAAGAATGGAAAGTTAGTGGTGGGATAAAGATGGTCTTGAAAGTAACATTCTTTTCTGATTTATCTTTGAAACAAAAATATGTTATTTCATAGTTTAATAACCAAATGATTGGCATATTAGCAGAATACTGTGCAGAAAAAGTATCATAACAACACTGTGAGATTGTAGGATTTGCAGATCTGGTTGTAGGAAAGGCCGCATCAAGCATGTCATGGAAAGTTCCTTATGCCTATGGAATTATAATTTTTAAAAATTAAAAACATGACTCATCCAAATACAAAATGAATGTTTATCAAAGTTTTCAATCAGTTCATTAATTACAGAGGAAACAAGTAAAATAGAGGACATTTCAAAGAGCATTTGAGAAGCTGTGTATTCATAGACATTTTAATAATTGGAATAAGATTGCGAGGTCAGTTGCAAACTGGTTAATGTCTTTCAGACCAATACACCTTAACCTTTGGGATTATCTCTTCTACCTGGTAGAATTATTTGCAATTCTGCTGGCAAAGATCTGTAAATTAGCATGTAATTTTACTTAATATGGTTTATTTATTCAGTATTAAATAGACTAATGGAGCAAGTACATTTCCCTTTCCTTAAGTAATTAAGTAACTGTTGAATGGGTCTTTATCCTCCTATTATCTAATACCTTGAAAGGACATCACTTTTTTAAGGCTACAGCTTTTGTCCTTGTATTCAAGGTTTGGATAACCTTTCTTAACAGCCTTTTAGTATTCATTTCTATTATTTATAAAGTTAGAGGCAAGTTGTCTCCTCCCTCAGAAGTGTCATATGCAAAAGGTATAAACTTAAATGTTTGTTTCTCTATTACAATAACACTAATGGATTAAATATGTGTCTTTCCCAGTAAAGCGCAGTGAACCGCAGAACACAGTGTTCTGTAAAACTTGACAGAAGATTAAATTGGTAGAATATTAGGTTTTGTATTTTTTAAAGTATGCTATGAAGTATTTCTACCAGTGTCAGTCAAATGTTCCTAGTTTAATATGCACAGTTTTAGGACTATTAATATACAGAACATAATGTTTCTGATTAAAGCATGATTTATTCTCCAATAAGAAATTGTTAGTCCTTTTTCCCTCAGCTTTGTTTTTTCTTCAATTCCATTTAACAGACTTTATAAAAGGCAAAAGATTTATGCATTCTGAAGAGAAACCACAGTATTACAGATTTTTAAAAAGGAGAAAATGGTAGTTAAATTTAGACAGTTAACATTTTCCAAAAGGATATCTGTGTTGGTTTAATGGGTTTATGGTTCCATTTTTAAAGCTTTTTTAAAAAATAAACATTCTATGTTGGAATAATTTTTTTTTTTTTTTGAGATGGAGCTTCATTCTTGTTTCCCCAGCTGGAGTCCAGTGGTGCAACTTTGGCTCACTGCAACCTCCACCTTCCGGGTTCAAGCAATTTTCATGCCTCAGCCTCCCGAGTAGCTGGGATTACGGGCATGCACCACCACACCCAGCTAGTTTTGTATTTTTAGTAGAGACGGGGTTTCACCATGTTGGCCAGACTGGTCTCAAACTCCTGACCTCAGGTGATCTACCTACCTCAGTGTCCCAGAGTGCTGGGATTACAGGCGTGAGCCACTGCGCCCAGCCAGAATAATTTTTAATAAATCGAAAAGTTGAAAAGATAGTGCATAGTTTTGTATACTTCCCATGCAGTCTCCCTCATTGTTAATGTCTTCCATGACCATGATACGTTTGTCAAAACTAAGAATTTAATGTTAGAACATGACCATTAATGAAATTCTAGACTTTTATTTGGATTTCACCAGCTTTTCCATTAATACTCTTTTTCCAGGATTCAGTTCAGAGTACCACATATAACGTAGTTATCATGTTTCCCCAGTCTCTTCCATTCTGTGACAGTTTCTCAGTCTTTCTTTTTTATGACCTGTGGAATGTATTCTAATTTGGGTGTTTCTGACATTTTTCTTGTGGTTTGACTAGGGTTATTTGGGTATTTTGAAAGAATACCACAGAGGTGAAGGCTTGTGCCATCACATCATATTAGTGGATATGTGATATCCATATGATGATGTTAACCTTCATTACTTGGATACAGTACTGTTTGCCAAGTTTCTTTACTGAAAATATACTATTTTTCCCTTTTCTTACTCTAATTTTTGAAAGTGAGTCTCTAAGTCTAGTCAACCCTCATTGGGAATGGGGTTTGGGAAGAGGGAGATGGAGTTAAGAACCACCAGCAGGAGGGAGAATATTTGGAATTCTATATGAAGATTTGTTTCTCTTTATTCTTCTTTATTATTTATGTTATCATTCATATCTTAATAGACTCGTATATTTCATAGTTTGGGTTATAATTCATTGCTATGTTATCTACTTTGATGCTTAAAACTATTTTAGTTTTTGTTATTGGGAACTCATTCAGATTGTTGCTTATGTCCTTTTGACATGCCCCCATACTTTGACTACTTACTTATCCTCTGGTACTACAAGATGCCTCAGCTCTTGTTTGTTTGTTGTTTCACATTCATTCACCACCTTTATTTGTTTTTATTTTTATAGTCAGTGAACTTACCCTGATATATTATTGTTGCTCCGAAGTCCATAGTTTACATGGGAGTTCACTCTTAGTGGTCTACATTCCATGCTTTTGGACAAATGACGTATATTCACCATTATAGTAACATACAGAATAGTTTTTGCTGCCCTAAAACTTCTCTGTTCTCTGCTTAGCAATCCTTCCTTCCTAACCCCTGGTAACCGTTGATCTTTTTACTATCTCCGTAGTTTAGCCTTTTCTAGAATATCATTTGGTTGGAATTATACACATAGATCCCTTTTAGATTGGCTTCTTTTACTTAGTAATATGAATTTAAAGTTCCTCCAGGTCCTTTTGTGGCTGGATAGCTCATTTGTTTTAGTGTTAAATAATATTCTGTTGCCTGGATGTAACACAATTTACCAATTCACCTGTTGAAAGACATCTTTTGGTTGTTTCCAAGTTTTGGCAAATTTCCCTAGGTTATTTTTTATTTTCCCTTCTCTTGTCCTAAAAATTAGTTATTTCTCTAAAGAGCCCTGGTTCCTTTTATTAGAAGATGGTATTTAGAAGCAGGATTGGATCACTGCATATATTTGTTGTGACTGAGAGATTATGCCTTCTAAGCATTTCAGTAGACCGAGATTTTATTTTATTTTTTAAATAGAGAAAGTTAGGCCAGACGCGGTGGCTCAAGCCTGTAATCCCAGAACTTTGGGAGGCCGAGGCGGGTGGATCACGAGGTCAAGAGATCGAGACCATCCCGGTCAACATGGTGAAACCCCGTCTCTACTAAAAATACAAAAAATTAGCTGGGCATGGTGGCGCGTGCCTGTAATCCCAGCTACTCAGGAGGCTGAGGCAGGAGAATTG